CAGAAGTCCCACAAGAATATCACAAGTAAATATGAAGTCATGGTGTTGGAGCCAAACTGGTAGCACTTCCCATAGTAGAAGGAGCATACAGTATAAGCTAACGGAGCATAAGATAAGAGCTAAATCTGAAGCAATGGTGTCATGAGGCTGAGTATGAGTATTAAGCTAGAGAACATGGCCAGGATTTGTTCTGCCTGTAGGCAGAGTTACATTGGTACATTGCCCACTCTTAAATGGAGAGAAGGACTAACAACATTTGGGAAAAATTGGGTATGGGCAGTAACGGGCAAAGACTGGAACTTCCAACTGCCTTGGCAAGGACAGACTTGGCTTTCTGATAATCTAGACATAAACATTTCTAGTGAACTAGATTGAGGGGACTAAATTCTTCCCAACAGGGCCAGGTTTCAATTTGAATACAGTAACTTAAAATGATGCTGCATCCTGCAGCATTAGAACCTAGAAGAGGCAATATCCAATGACTGGCTGACATTGAGTACCACATCTAACCATGAGAGTTGGGCAGGGATACCATCCCTAATGATATCAGTATTCAGCCTTTTGCACCCTGTCCACCTTACCACAATTTTAGAAGCTTAATGAAGACATACTAGTTCAACTAAGAAATCAAAACTGTGTGCTATTATTTGAAGATATTTAATAGCATCTGATATTAAAAGTAAATTAAGAGGACTATCTGTTAGATGACCAGGAGGAGGTCTTGGAAACCATTGTGTTAAAAACCACCATCTTAGCAATTTTCCATAGGTTGGAGAGTGCCCAGTGTAGTAACCTTGGGGTCTTTTTAACTTTCTAATATCAGTAGTTTAACAACAGCAGCCACAGAGGGGTGGAAATCTTATTTTGAGGCTTGCAGCCATGTTATAGATCCCAGAGATAGGGTCTTTTACAGTATCTGCTTACAGGTCACGTGGCTTATCTCATAGAAGTTATTTCAGCATTTTTCTTCCCTCTGACTTTCCACAGGTTCTCTGTTGTTATTGTTCACTGTATATTTTGAAAGTGAAAGACAATGGGGTTGAGGAAAGCCTAGTGTATGTTTGTTTGTGGGGGTGCAAATGTGGAATAAATATGTATAATGCAGAGTGGCTAATATGTTGTGCTATTTATCTTCATTTGTGAGGAGAGATAAGTCAGCCAGGACCATGCCAGTCCTGATTCATTCTTCATCACTACACTCATGAAGATAAATGCCACATTTACACAGACCACAGCTATCATGTGTTCTTTCAGACCAGAGATCAGATGGGCTAGAGCAGGAGGTCGACCTGGTGTCATTATTTGAAAATCAAGAACACTTTGTAGCATCTCCTACTCCCACACATTTTGATCTCCGGTGTTACACTAGGGTACCACTAATGGCTGACGAAGTATTTAATTAGCATATATATTCAGCCATGTCTACATTCAGATATTCACTTCATTTTAGTTTAAAAAAATGTTTATTTCCTGTGTTTGATCAGCACAGCATCCTGCAGTGGCAATGTACTGATTAATATGATATGTAGTCTTGGTTCTCACAGGTGGTAACTGGCATAATGAAGAGAATATTATGGGAAAAAATGAGAAACAAGGGGTTAATTCTCTCTGTGGGCATTGCCAGATGACAAAGGAGCTAGTCAGAATAGAACTAGTGAGAAGTAATCATTTCTGAGCAGCTATAGTAAAAGAAAATGTCACGTACACATTAGCTTTCCATGATTTGCAAATGGTTGTATCACTGTACTTTAAGGCTACGGCTGAGCAAGTGGGTAACTTCTCTGTCTTGTACTGAATTACATATCCTGGCTTTATTTCCCACCCCTCCCCTAGCCCCACCACTAAAGTGTATTAAAAGCTAGGCAGAGGGATAGAGAGATTAAATCACATCGTAGCAACGGCATATAAACCATATACAGAAAAGCTGAATCTAAATAAAGAACTTAAAAATACAAATGGCTCAATAGGACCTCTAACTTCCCAGGGATTTTTCCATGTTTGAAATAAACACCTTATCACATAATCACATGCTTAACCTCGACAGGGCAACCAGATTAATTTTCAGTTAAAATTTCAAAGTGGTACTGATTGAAGCTTTGCTGCTTATAGATATTGTTTATTGTTCTAGAAAATCCCATATTTGATTTGGAAAATATAAAATACAGGGTGTCCCAAAAAATGTATGCACACTTTAACAGCTGATAGCTCAATTTAGCAAATGAAATGCATTTTAATAAACACTGCCTTTATAATTATTCAAAGTGTGTGCGTACATTTTTGAGGATACTCCATATTATTTCTTTCTGAGAGCTTGCAAAATGCCAAGCTAGTTGGTTTACGGGCATCACCTCATTTCATGAACAAAAAAACCTTCGGAGCTCGGCTCTATTATTTTCACCCTCACTTTACAGACGAGGGCATTGAAGGCTAAAAATACCATGGAACTTGCATAAGTCACCAAATCACTTCGTGTAATGTTGGAATTTTATCAACTTACTTTCTGTGTGCTATCACATGCTCTGATTTAGGATTCCTCATCATCTCCATGTTTATACTCCCCTGTCTACCTGCTTTTCTCTAGAAAAGCCCTCAGGGAGTCTCTCAATTTATCTGGCTTTTTGTTTCCTTATCTATATCACTGGACCATTGATGAGCTCCATCAATAAACAAATCATACGAACTCTATGTCCTGAGACTTCATGTTGTAGGAGACAAAATACATGCATACGTACATACATGCACACATACATACGCATTATCGCTAGTTGTGAGAAATGCTTGAAAGAGCAATAAAGCAGAGTAAAGGGATAGAGAAGGATGAGGACAAGGAGCAGTTATATTTTAAGCGGCAGAGCTGAGGAAAACCTCTCCGAGCAGGTGGCTTGGAGGAAGTGGAGGAGCCAAGCCTACAGATATTTGGATAAGAGAAGTACCATTGTCATGTGCCTATATAGCTACAGCTCTGTCTGGGTGAAGAACATGCAAAGCAGAAGAGACAGCAAGTACAAGTTTCCTGAGCAAGCAGTGGAGGTTGAGTTAGAATCAAGAGTTTCTTTTGGAGAGGTTATTTCCAAAGCCTCCAACGGGAGGTCTTAAATTAGTGGATACATATCTGTGTTGCCGGCTATAGATGTTTATATTTTTGGCAGTCTTTACTTTGTAGTGGTGTTTCAAGCCACTGTGGGACCACTTGAAGAGCAAGTATATATACAGAAGAAGTCCCCTAAGGGAGCCCAGGTGCCCTCTAAGGATTAATGGCCCAAGAGATAAGGCAAAGCTACTGACGGAGGCAGAGCAGAGTGACCAATGAGGTGAAAGAAAAAATCGAGAGGGATTTCCTGGGAGCCAAGTACAGGGAGGACAGAGTGGTCACTAGTCTAATGCTGCTAATTTTTGCCTAATATGAGAAATGAGAATTGCCTGCTTGATTTAGCAATGGACCTAAGTGTATCTCCTGCCTCTTCTTTGCCCCCTCTACACATGTGTATCATTACTCATTGCCTTGCTCTCACATTATTATAAATCCCAAGCACATTAACTTATAACTCATAATTTATATGCCCTAATGAAGGATAGTTAATTGTTCTTGAAACTGTGATATTTGGGAACACTTTCTATAAGACTAAGTTACCCATTTTTAAATATATATATATATATTTTTATTGATTTTAGAGAGGAAGGGAGAGGGAGAGAAACATCAATGATGAGAGAGAATCATTGACTGGCTGTCTCCTGCATGCCCGCTACTGGGGATCTAGCCCACAACCCAGGCATGTGCCCTTGACTGGAATCAAATCCAGGACCTTTCAGTCCACAAGCTGACGCTCTATCCACTGAGCAAAACCAGCCAAATTGTTTTTTAAAACCGATGACAAAAAATGCACAGATCATCTCAAAAATAAAATTTAATCTTATTCTGTTTTACTTATGGAATAATACTGATATTTATCCGTGGTATATTGCTTATAAGTTCATGAAACATTTTGATTCATGTTATCTGTTTCAAACAAAAGCATGTCACGCAGTAAAACACTGAGCTCTGAAGCTAACACCATCAGACTCCACCACCTGCTAGCACCTCCTTGAAGGAGTCAACCACACACACACACTTCACTCCTCCTCATCCCTTGAAGATTTTAACACCTGCCTCCCTGTTGTTCTCTGCAGTCCTGCTCCTGATAGAATTCTTGGTGATTTCAATATCCGTGTCAGTCCCTGGGCCTTGATGACTAAGTGCATGGGCTTTTTCTATCTATTCTTGTTCATGATTTCCTTTTTTTTTGCAGCTTGCACCAACTGCACAGCTAAGCTGTAAAGTTCTGTACTGTATTTGTTGGAATGAAAGATTGTTTCGTTTACTTCATCATGCTGTGCAAAATGCCAACTTGACCTCTTCATGTTTCTTTGCTTCAATTACTCTGAGGCCCTCAAGATCAGATTCTAAATTTTAATCTGCCATTGCCATCGGAGTGTTAGGAGGAGAGTAGGGGCAGGATGAAGGATGGGGAAGATGAGGAGATGTTCATATCTTTATTGGTTTTGGATGGGGGGGGTGTGAAACAATTGGAGTTTGTCGCAGAAACTAATGTCAAATTCTTAACATATCATTTGACTTTAATAATTCAGAGAGCTTTGCTTACTTATTTCTTATATATATTCAAAATACATTATCCCATTTGATCTTCAGAGGTGGTATTGATCAAGACACTGGAACAGAGAGAACATGGGACTTGCTTAAGGTCATACATCTGATAAATCAGAACCAAGTATAGACTACAGATCTTCTGACACCAATTGTATTTTTTATTTGCATTAAGCAATGCATTGTTCACAATGGTCAATGGTTAAGATAGTTGTTTTGGCTTTCTTCCCAGGAGAGTGTTAAAATACAGTTGTGATTCAATCGTAAGTATTGTCACCAGTGTTGTCTGTGGTGATAGTAGTGGCTGCAGATAGAGAAATACGCTGAATTGTTCTAATGTATGCTTTTGTTTTTTTAGGTTGTCAAACACATTGCCTGTTTACGCATGGAGACCACAATGGAGAGCTAGGTGGGTGACGATTCATGCTAAATCTTCCCACAACATCTGAACACCACAGCATCAGCTAATGGGCACTGGCTCATTATATACTGTCAACTCCAATAACAGCAATGATTGGCTTTGTCAGCATGAGCAACTGCAAACCACTAATGGATTTAAAAAAAAAAAAGAGGCTGTAATATAGTAGAAAAGACATATGTGGAGTCATTTTTTGCAAATTCCTTGTATGTTTCTCTTTGCCAGTTTAGAAACAGCCTTCATGTTCCCAGCTTGGCCCCAGAGATGGCTGTCCTTGGGATTCCCTTCTCTATGAGTGCCTCCTCCTTCAGTCATATTTTAAGAGCTAAAGATGTTATAAGGATAGTGGTGGCTCATGGTTGGAGCTGGATTAGTGTTTCTCCTGTGGAAATATTTCTGGAGCTCCCTCCTCACCGCACACCCCACACCAGTCAATCATGCCATATGCACAAACACCCTTACCCCTGACTGTAACACAGCATCCGTGGGTGGCATTTCTATCCATAGAGAGGAGATCAGGAGGCAGCAGGAAGAAGTACTGACTTCTTGCTCTACGACTTATGATCAAGTGTCTTTTTGTCTCCGTTACATTGTCATCTCCTGGAAGGCAGGATCCTGGATTTATTTTAGTCCAGTACCTATGACCCATAGTTGTCCTTCCTTGAATATTTACCAACAACATTAATGCATTCCCTTCTAAAAAGTTCATAATTAAGTTGGGAGTAGGGTTTAATCTTCTTGCCTTCCTTGTCCCTTGGACAGTGCCTGACACACAGTAGAATGACACTACTTGTTTGTTTCGTGAAGGAACAAGAGTTTGAATGAGTCCATCCTTCAGATGGTACCTTGTTGCCAAATTAAAGGCAAAGCAAACCTTTTCTAATTAGAGTCAGAGAAATGATGACTTCTAGTGTTTTCTTCTCTCAATCTCTCTCTCTCTCTCTCACTGGGGGGTGGGGGGTGGGCACCAGGAATAATGCCCTAAAAGTGGTTGTTTATTTTGGGAGGCAAACGCTAATCTGAAGCTGTTTTCTTTATTTTTATATTCAAATGTCTGTATAACAGCAAAGCACCAGAGACCTATTCATTGCTCACAAATGATCTATGAGGTAATAATGAGCTTGCTTTTCCAGCTGTGCTGCATTTTGGTGCTATCCTGGGTTTAATTGAAAATATGCTGTGACCTTGGTTTTGTTCACTGGGCATGGGGGGTGTCTAATTGGCATGAGACCTCTGAAGAACTCCCTTTTAGCAAATGTCATTTAGCTAATTTGGGGTTCGCCTTCGGGAAATCATGTGTGAAGTCCTGTAAATTCAAGATGCATATTATTTGCATGCAAATCACATGGAGCTAATAGTTTTGTTTTTTTTAAAAAAAGAAATTAACTTTTTATTTTGCTATTACAGATTGTTGAATTCTAAATGCTATCAGTATGATAATAGTATTGGCCCAAAAAGTCTCATGTTTCATCATAATTAAATAAACAGCTTGTGAATTGCAGTCCAAAAAATGTCTGTGTTCCACTCTTAACTTAAGGGGTTTCCATAGAAACCGTGGGCAGCAAGTTTAACTGACATTTATTGGACTTGAGGCTATATGCAGCACTGATATCTCTGTTTTTGTCTCTGTCCCTCTGTGCATATGTCTCCTTCTCTTCCTTTAACCCTCATAATCCTCACCCCACCTCAGTCCTTCCCCCGACCCTCATTTTCCTCCTCCCCTTCTCTTATGAGCAATGAGGAAGTAATTTGGACTCAGTTAGATTTAACAAATGCAATAATACTAAAATGAGCTCTGATACTTAAGTGTAATTGTGTTATTAGCTGGGAATGTTTTTCTTCAAAAACAAAAGAATTGAGAGTGAAGTTTACTCAAAGAGCACATGCTGGCAAAAAGGAACCTAGTGGAAAATTTGCAGTCTGCATATCACAGTCTACATTCATACCCCAACAACAGCTTTTCCTTCATTTAGCCAACCCCGACTGATGTTTCTCCTCAGTCCTAATTTTCAGCCTTCTAAATAGAGCATAGTTATTATGCTGATTATATCCCAAGAGAAAAGATAAGCTTATTTAGGAAAGAAAACATACTCTACATATTGTATACCTACTGTGTGCCAGATATTTTGCTATGCAGTTTCATTTAGTTTGTCTTAGTTAATCACACAAAATACACCGCCAGACAGGAAAATGGATTTGGAGCTGGTGATTGAAGTTTAGCGCCACTCCACCATCAACCCCCAACCAACTAACTGGCTTGGTAGAGTGCTTTAATGCTGTCTTAGTTTCTCAAAGAAAAAAATGAATATAAAGCACTTCTAAAAATGGACTTTTATTAGGATTAGTGATGATAATGTAGCCAGTGCCCTGTGGTAGTGATGTTTCTCTCTATCCCTTTAACAATGAGGAAAATAAGTTGCCAAAAGAATAAGTCATTTATCCAAAGCTATAAAGTGTGTACATGCAGTGCACTGATTAAAATGGGTCAATTTAGATAGATGTAGGATCAATTACTGATGGTGTGATTTGGGTAAGTAATTAACAGAGCATCTAATTGAAGGATCATGCAGTTGTTATGAGGATTAAGTAAAATTGCATATGTTAAATACTCAGAGAGTGTATGTCAGCTAGAAAACCATATATATATATATTTTTTGCTGTCTCCCTCCTTCCTCCACCTTCTGAATTGTTTTGTTTTTAGTATGGATTTAAAGTAAAAAAGATGATAGGTCTTTAAAATCTATCCAATACTCATAGTTTAAAATGATCTTATAATTCATAGACTGTCTCAAGGTATCCTTGGTAACCATGATAAAGGAAAGACAGGTAATATCACACCCATTTTACAGGTTAGCATAACAGAGATCCAGAGTGTTATTGGCAAGATCTCCCTACTGTGAAGGAGGAAGTTGAAAAAATTTTTAAATATATTTTATTGATTTTTTACAGAGAGGAAGGGAGAGGGATAGAGAGTCAGAAACATTGATGAGAGAGAAACATCGATCAGCTGCCTCCTGCACGCTCCCCACTGGGGATGTGCCCGCAACCAAGGCACATGCCCCGACCGGAATCAAACCTGGGACCCTTCAGTCCACAGGCTGATGCTCTATTCACTGAGCCAAACCGGCTAGGGTGGAAGTTGAAATTTTTAGGTAGATCTCTAGGATTCTTATATTAAAACTCAAAGTCTATTGTTCTTCTTTGGGTCCTATGTACATGTGCTTTAAAGCTGAAATCTAGCAGATTTTAATTCATATTTCTAATTATGGTGAGAGGAAAAATCTTTGGGCAGGGAAGGAGAAAATGAAGTGGGGAAGGGCTACTTACAGGCCTGTTTCCAGGTTGTTCCCTCAGGATTCAAAGGGACATGTACAATTACAATTCTCAATCTTAGGGGCAGATGAAACATTGATTTTGTATAGCAACACTTGAGTGTTTCTGGTTGGAGAAAAAGGGTGGGATGGAAAGAAAAATAACTCAAGTCAGGTATCAGTCAGAGATGTTGGTGAGCACTGAGTGGTTTCAGAAGTGAGTGTACAGTTAGGACAAGGGTGTGATGGGGCATGATTACTGGAGAGCGTGATCATGAACACACACACAAACACACATACATGGATACACTCACATACATAGACACATATATAAAGGATTAATCTGAATGAGCATGTCTTTAAATTATAATCATTTTATTGCCTCAAAGAGCTTATACTAGGAGATACAATGTTAGCTCTACCATTTTTATCTGTTGTATGTTTATGCTTGCTTAATTACTAGAATATGCATTCTGTGTTATCTTTGAAAGAATCCTCACAAACCCCTTTCTTCATTTTGTATTAATTAATTAAAAATAAATAATATAATCCCTAAAGCCACTTATCCAGACACCCAGGAATAGTAGCAGTCATGATGTGTCGAAAGCATATGAACAGGTCATGCAGAGTAGGTAACCCCTCTGTGCTGTGGAAGTCCCTCTTTGGCTCAGGATTTCTCATATATGTTATGGGACACATGTATCCATTGCCAATGTAGTAAGTCTTAATCCCTTTCTTATTTCTTAGATGAAACAAATAATAAATATAAATTTTAACATTTTTTATTTTATGCCCTAATGCAGCGATGGCGAACCTTTTGAGCTCGGTGTGTCAGCATTTTGAAAAACCCTAACTTAACTCTGGTGCTGTGTCACATAGAGAAATTTTTTGATATTTGAAACCATAGTTAAACAAAGATTTATGTTTCTGATATTTGTTTTATATATTTAAATGCCATTTAACAAAGAAAAATCAACCAAAAAAATGAGATTGCGTGTCACCTCTGACACGCGTGTCATAGGTTCGCCATCACTGCCCTAATGGATCATCTTGGTAAATTTGGTGCTGAGGAGAGTGGATAAGAAAAGGAATATTTCTCTATACTCTACAGAAGAGTCAACACACTTTTTTTGTAGAGGGGCAAAGAATAAGTATTTTAGAATTTGTGAGCCATATCGTCTGTCACAACTGCACAATTCTGCTTTACTGTGATAGCAGCCTAAGATAATACATCCATGGATGGGTGTTTAAGTGTTCCAATAAAACTTTATTGAAAAAGAAAACAAGTGGTAGGCTGAACTTTGTTTATGGGCAGTAGTTTGCCAACCATTGATCTTAGAGTTTTGCTTACATCTCCACCTACCTCCCATGTCTGCTCATGTGGCAATTATAGCTTAAAAGATAGTGTAGGAGTGACAACTATATCATACTCTTCCCTCATTTGTGTACTGTACTTTTTGTCACACTTACTTTTGATTAAACTTTATCCTTTCCGCATTTCTTTAGCATAGGAAGAGCATATATTCTGTCTGCATTTTACAGAAGGGTAAAGAAAATTTAGGTGTCTCTCATTAATGACACCTAGCATCTATAGAACCCACCTTTCTTTCTATTGGATTATTCTTTCTAAAATGCATCATTTAAAGAATAAAGAAAGATGGTTGGAGAAATAACCAAGAG